TAGTGTGTACTTAGGTATTCCATTATGTAACCTAGTGTGTAGTTAGGTATTCTATGACGGAACCTAGTGTAGGAACGAGCTTGATGACGTAACCTTTTATGTACTGATGAAGACGTTGTGCAATGTGGTCCACAAATTGATCAAACCTATAGTGCAGTTGTTCAGTTCCCTGTATGTTAACATGGTAAATATACAGGATATACTACCGTGTGTCCGTATATAGCTTAGTAGTTGACTGTATGTAATAGTTGATGTTTAGTAATAGTTATAAGTGTTATACATATGTGTGAACACATATATATCTAACACACATATGGTGTAAGTGCAAGTCGCTGATTTGAAGCCTACTGATATGTTCATCTAAACTAACCCACTGAAGTCATGTGTAAGATCAGAGAGAAAAACGTAAATGTGCTCCTTACATTGCCAAATAGAAACCGGTTGTTTATAATTACGGTCTAGCAATGTCAGTGTTGTCTAGTATTGTTGCTACACTAATATATACATGTTCCTATTGTCCGCCAGGCATAGTAGCCATCACGGCCATATATTCACAACACTGAACCTAGAATGTTGACACACATATTTACTGGTATTAACGGTTAAACTTGCCCACAGAAGTAGCTATCAGTACCTAGATGTGTTGCTGAAAGTTGGTCTTGATTAACAAGCACGTGGCCTTTACCAAGAGGGCGTGCTGTGGCAGCGTTCCTTCTGCCTGTTACTGGCCTACCCCAACCGGCCTTCAACAGCCTGCTAGCCATTACTACGTTACAGTATATACACTTTGGACTTTTCCCTGAGAAAACAATACTTTTTACATTATTGCAAGCAAACATGTTTCCAATTTGGCAGACATCAACAGTTGTGGAGCAAATCACTTGACATTCTTAAATCTAGCATTTGTGTTGGTTCGCCTGATGGTTGTCATTGCCTCGCGTGTACAGAGTAGGGGCAGCACGGCCCAAATAACACCATGTACCTCTGCTACTTCAACAACCATATCGGTAGCTGCACTCGCTGACTCCGCCATTCAAACTGACACATACTTCTAGCCAACGAAAGAAGGATTCAGCAATAAAACATATTGGTCTCCGTCGTAAATATATCCACACACCTACAACCCCCGCCAGTCGCGCGGCGCACAGTCATGTATTTCATGATATCAATGAATTCCCTGGACAGATATCCCAGGTCGGTTCCTCCAACACAAGCTCTAGTGGAGCACCTGCACACACTGGGTCCTCACAAGACTTTTAAATAGTTACTCACATTACTACTAATTCAGTTTGTATATATTTGAAGATATATTTCGTTTATAAAGTGTAATATGTATAAAGTGGATGTTTGATTCTGTTCCCCATAGCATTTGCAATAACAACAGAACGCATTTCTTCAGATACTGAAAGTTTAAATAAATTAGGACGGAGCCCTGGACACATACTAGTACATATTTTGGTGGTTGGAAATTTCTTTAGTTAGCTTTAATATATTTGCCTTTATTGTTGTCTACAACGTAAGGTAAATAAATATATTTAAATATGGTAACTAAGATGGGAAAGTTATTTTAAAAGAATGTATCCCCTCATTTCCTATCGCCGATCATAAAAGGACGCAGGGAAAACAACAAACATAATTCAGTTGAAATACAGTTCCTTCGTGAGCCGAGAACAAGCCAGGGGTTGAGATGTAGTCCAGTTTTACAGCAACACTAGATCCTACACAACAAACCTTCAAAACCCAAAGTGAGCATTTCAGTGGGGATTTTACATACTTCAAGTGTCACTTATATACTTCGGTGCTGTATTTGAAATATGTAGTATGCTAATAGATTATCATTCCGTCGAATATTCTTTAATAAATAAACACTAAAATACACGAGCATATATTGTCGAGATCGAGACGTACGACATGTTAGGTATTGTGTTGGTAAGATCCGCTGATTTTTCCATTGAACCATAAGAAAGCTTTTCTCTTCCCATCTATTTATCATGAGACATTTAATCCCTAAACAACAATGTCCCTGTAGAAACATTGACAACCGGAATACAAATACGGCTTAAAGTGACATCTGCAACCCAACAAATATTCACGAACCAAGATATTGACATGAATCTGTTCCGGGGAGTTTTAAACACTTGCACCCAGAATATAACAACAGTCTAACATCAGTTCGTGAGAAAAAAGTAAAAAGCATTTAATTAACCTCAAATATATTTTATTTAAAAAAATTAACATTTCCGACCTTTTAAAACTGTATAAATTTCTACTTTGGCTTTAAATTGGAGTTAACTGACGACCGCTATGTGAGAATATATGCCCAGTGGTGTAGGCGTTCCCACAATCAGTCTGCTTGAATACACTTTCCTAATCAGGGGTCACAACTTTGTCAATTTGCATTTTCTCCGAGGTCACTTTTGATTTTACCATGCAAATAAAATGAACATAACTCTTGAATGCACATAGAAATTCATCGGCGATTTATGTGATTTATATTCAAATTAATATACACAGGTTTTGTTATCAATACTCTTAGTTGACTTTCACTGGAAAAACTAAACCCTTCTCGTGAACCCTCCACATCTGATGAAATAGTCAGAAATGTAGCACAGTCAATTAAACCTATGTTCAAAGTGTGCGTGTTATATGCATGTACCACAGCAAAACATATGTTGAAGGCCAGTGTCGACACCAGCATTCCACTGAACTTATCCCACACGGGAACAAGCAGTCGGTCGGATAGGTGGACAGGACTCCGAGAGTATACATGTTAAAACCACCGTGGGGCATTTGTTGACGAAGACCCAGTATGAATCAGTTGACGCACAGACAGAAGACATGTCAAACAAGCTGTTGATCGCCCCTTCCCCTCAATTTCCCCCTAGCCAGGGCTATGAGTCACAACCGAACATCATCATCAGGTATAGAGAGTTACAACAGAAGGTTTGTTTGAAAACATGGAAAGTAATCTGGTATCTTCAAATAAATATCATGCACATAAATAACAACACACTCATTCTATTTCAAACTGATCGAAATCCTTAAGCACAAAAACATTAAATATTGTGTATATTTCTTGAAAACATTTGTTATATCTTACTCGCTCCTAACTGGTTTAAACATCATGTAGTAGTTTATATTTGTGGGATATCTATACATTGTGTTGAGACATGTGACTTTATCGTCCACAACAGTACTGGTTCCTCTTGAGGTACAGCATTAACCAAAGTCAAGCTTCCAACATGGAAATAGCCAAGTGATCGTGTAGATGATCAAATTTAAATATCTTTCAACATAACGGTAACGCAAAGGTAATACGAGTTTTGCGTTCAGTGACAGTGGTGAACGCCTTTTCTCTGTTTTCGACACTTAATATATAGTTTGACCAGGGGCTATTGCACCGCGCGCGTATTTGTAAGAACAATCATTCTTAAATATTGCATTATTCAAGTACTTTCACTCTTTTTCATAATCCATTACTGTGAATGTGTCAATAACAAATCTCTATGACTAATTAAATACATATTCAGGAAATACGTGACTATAAGTGTTATGTCAAAACATTTGAAAACGAAGCACACGAGCTTTCTCTCCTCAGTGATTCCACAAGAACATAGAAACACTTCATTCCGCAATAACGAATACCTGGCAAATGTCTTTTTCACACAGCAGCTCGGTATAGAAATGTTCTTGTCCATAAAAGAACATGATGTAGAATCGCTGTTATATATATAAATACCGTGACTAAATGTATGTACAATACACATGATATTCATATCAGCCATGTGAATGAGATCGCGGTAGTACTGATCGCTGAATGCGTAACACAGGCCCAGGACTGACTGTTGACTTACACCGCTGTTTGGCATCAACGACGAGCAAGATAAATAGAAAACTCAACGTTAAAATATAACTGTCTCCATTGCACCATATCTTAACACAACTTGAAAAATGGAAAGGGCAAAAATCCCCAAATCTACTACACACGATTTGCGTGTTGGAAAAAAATAACTTAAAGCTGGGCTAAACAACTCGAGGGAAATTGAAAGGTGGATGTAGTAAGTGTTCTGTGTGGAGGAAACTACATGTAGTTATGTTGAGATTGTTTCTAGAGGGCACTCGCCGACATGCTGGGCCCTAGAAATAAGTTCTTCTGAAGATATTACATTCTGCCTCTATGCCGAGATGACTACTTGTCGACGGGAGGCCATCTTAATCAAACTGGAATTTCCATGTTTTGTGACTGCCATAAAAGTTGTATATGTGTGACGGGGCTGCATGCAGTCCTTACACCCAAGTCTACCGGACGGCCGCGATCATGGCGAGTCAGACGTTACATACACGCGCTCCTCTCCGAGTTAGTACTATCACCTGCTGCATCAATGTAAAAACTTGTTAACGTGCTCAACACGCTTCCTTTGCACACACAAGCCCACATATACCAATCCGTCAACAAACATCGTCTTTATACCTGGCGTCGAGGTACTGGCGTACCACCTATCACTGCCACATAATCCATACGTTTTGTGAGAAAAGTTTCAATCAGTTTTTACGATCATCAGATTTCCAAGTTTCTTTTGAATTCTGTGTGGCTCAGATCTAATCCTTTGGAGAAATCCGTGTCGTAATACGCCGTTACTGTACGACATTGGCTGGCAATTACCGTGAAATATACCGAAAGCAGCGCGCGCGGGGAAACACCATGCAAAAGTCAGTGACAATAATTTCTAGGGAGGCGCGAAATCATTATATAGACACGACAGTACAGTGTATCGCTGCGGAAATGTACACTGCAAAATGGTTTTACATAGATGTGAACTTTGAGTGAGAGTTGTGCGAGCGACGACCAGGATGAGTTTTAAATGTCCATGTAGCCTACTACCTTAACCTACAGGTCACTGGATAGGTCGGAATGTTTTATTTAAACGGCCTGATTAATACACATGTATTAAAAAATATGGTAGCACTTTGCCAACCTGGAAGTCCCTGAAATAACTCACCAATAAGTTCTCTGATCTGAGCTTTATCTATCCATAAGGACAGGCGACTGTGTCCGCGAGACCGGCCGACGACGTTGTCGAGGCACATGGAGAGAAGAAGGATGACGACCACCAGTAGCCCACCGACCCTCCCCAGCATGGCGGGCCCCAGGCCGATAACGCCCATCAGCCGGACAGGCAGGGGTTGTGGCGGGGGTGGGGTGACACCCGGGAATCAGCAGCCAGGGGGGAAGGGGCACACCTCTGTTCTCTGTGTCGGTACACTACTCACGGATGGGCACACATCCCACTTTAATGTACACTGATACTGTGGCAAGGGCCGATGTCTCATCCTCGTTTCAAGCAGTGAATGGTTCCGTCTGATGTAAGTGCGTTCTGTGTCGCCACATGAACAGTACCCCCCATGTACATCAACTTGTTCTGTGCTGGGTGATATCACTGGACACAATATTATACACACAAACCAAGTAACACTCCTACTCCTTTCAGTGGTATAGGTAACTAAGAGGCACACAACTTCCGCACTTCCGTAAGAATGGTAGCCGTTCAATCTCGCCGTACCTCCTGTACTGCCGACACCAAGTCTACTGATCCTCACCCGCGGCCATCCGGGTGCAATTGACCATTATGCAACCTCAGGACTGGGTCTACTTGTTTCATTGACCACTGGTCAAATAGCCCGGCACAGCTGGGGGGTTGAGGTAACCTCCTGTCCCTCCCATCGTCCAGCCCTACCCGGCTAACTAACTCAAGACCAGGGTGCCCAGGGGGTAGTGTTGACGCCGTTACCCTCAGAGGAATATGTGGCCACAGTTATACATTTACTCCTTGAATACATAATGTGTAGAGCTTTGAACAAACGTTCTGAGCCACATGACTAAAGTTTCCAAGTTTCCATTAAGTTGAGTCGGTGGTGTTTCCTCCAGTACCAGTGAATGTCCAGTCACGGTGCAAGTGTGGAGCGAGGGTATTGCGGCCTTGTAGAGAGGCACGTGTAGACAGACAGAGGCAAGTGGCGGGCGGGTGAACGAGCGAGCGGGCGGGCGGTCGGGCGGTCTCCCAGCACTGAGGTAGAGCGATCGTGTGTTTCTCTCCACCGACACACTACTGCTGCCAGGCATAGAGATTGGTCCACACAGACAAATCTCCGTGCTTTTATTGTCCAACTCCTATTGACAGTTGTGGCCATGGGGTCACGGGCTCTGGTTGTGTTTGGGAAAGCGTAATTAGTGAAGGGGTGATGTTGACTCGAGCTATGGATAAATATTGTTCTTGCCCCGTCTCATTAAGTGAGTGTCGACTCTGCATTTAACATAGGGGCGGTTTCCCAGTGAGAACGAGAAACGATTTCAAACAAATCCGCTAAAACCGAACCTGTTTTTGGACGGACTCCGAAGACATCTTTATGTAAAGCGCTTGTAATATGTAGTTAATTACAGCTTCTTGTACTAGGTCCTACACAGATTACACATAGTGCAACACAAACCACAGGGCGAGAAACAATGATGCTCAGAGTCAAGTTGTAAGTGAGAAGACGTCAGAAAGGGTTGGCTCCAGAAGATGAGTAGGTTCAAACCGAAAGGCTCATGATTTCCATTTACAGATGGATGTTGGGATACTGATGGGATAAGGAGAGGACCCACAGACAGGTGGGTATTGGGATACTGAGGGAACCCAAAGACGCATATAAACGCTGGGGAGGGGGGGGGGGGGTGATTGGGGAACTTTTTGACGTATAAATGGATAGGTGTTGGGAAAATGTGGAAATCCACAAACAGTCGCGTACTGGGACATAAACCTGTGGGTATTGAGATCATGTTGAAACCCAGAGACGGGTGGGTGCTGGAATACTTTGGAAACCCAGAGACGGGTGGGTGCTGGAATACTTTGGAAACCCAGAGACGGGTGGGTGCTGGAATACTGTGGAAACTCAGAGACGGCTGGGTGCTGGAATACTGTGGAAAGCCATAGACGGCTGGGTGCTGGAATACTTTGGAAACCCAGAGACGGGTGGGTGCTGGAATACTGTGGAAACCTATAGACGGGTGGGTGCTGGAATACTGTGGAAACCCAGAGACGAGTGGGTACTAGAATACTGTGGAAACCCAAACGGGTGGGCGTTGGGACAATGAGGGAACCCAGGTACACAAAGGCGGATGAGAAGCTGGGATAATGGTGTTAGACAGATGGGTGGATATTGGAATACTGGTGTTAGACAGATGGGTGGATGCTGGGGTGATGGTGTTAGACAGATGGGTGGATGCTTGGGTAGTGGTGTTAGAGAGATAGGTGGATGCAGGGGGGTAATGGTAAGAGAGATGGGTGGATGCTGAGGTGATGGTCTTAGACCGATGGGTGGATGCTGGGGGTAATGGTGTTAGGCAGATGGGTGGATGCTGCAGTGGGGTAGCCCGATGGTGGTTAGACAGACAGATGGGTGGATGCTGGGGAAATGGTGTTAGACAGATGGGTGGAGGTTGGGGTAATTGTGTTAGACAAATAAGTAGATGCTGGGGTAATGGTGTTAGAGAGATGAGTAGATGCTTGGGTAATGGTGTTAGACAGATGGGTGGATGATGGGGTAATGGTGTTAGACAAATAGGTAGATGCTTGGGTAATGGTGCAAGACAGATGGGTGGATTCCGGGGTGATGGTGTTAGACAGATAGGTGGATGCTGGGGTAACACTGTTAGACAGATGGGTGGATGCCTGGGTGATGGTGTTAGACAGATGGGTGGATGCCTGGGTGATTGTGTTAGACAGATGGGTGGATGCTGGGGTGATGGTGTTAGACAGATAGGTAGGTGTTGGGGTGATTGTGATCGACAGATGGGTGGATGATGGGGTAATGGTCTTAGACAGATAGGTGGATGCTGAGGTGATGGTGTTAGACAGATAGGTGGATGCTGGGGTGATGGTGTTAGACAGATGGGTAGATGTTGGGGTGATGGTGATATACAGGTAGGTGGATGTTGGGGTAATGGTCTTAGGCAGATAGGTGGATGCTGAGTTGATGGTGTTAGACAGATGGGTGGATGCTGGGGTAATGGTGTTAGAGAGATGGGTGGATGCTGAGGTGATGGTCTTAGACTGATTGGTGGATGCTGGGGTAATGCTGTTAGGCAGATAGGTGGATGCAGGGGTAATGGTGTTAGACAAATAAGTAGATGCTGGGGTAATGGTGTTAGACAGATGGGTTGATGCTGAGGTGATGGTGTTAGACAGATGGGTGGATGCTGGGGAAATGGTGTTAGACAGATGGGTGGAGGTTGGGGTAATTGTGTTAGACAAATAAGTAGATGCTGGGGTAATGGTGTTAGACAGATGAGTAGATGCTTGGGTAATGGTGTTAGACAGATGGGTGGATGATGGGGTAATGGTGTTAGACAAATAGGTAGATGCTTGGGTAATGGTGCAAGACAGATGGGTGGATGCCGGGGTGATGGTGGTAGACAGATTGGTGGATGCTGGGGTAATGGTGTTAGACAGATGGGTGGATGCTGAGGTGATAGTGTTAGCCCGATCGGTGGATGCTGGGGTGATGGTGTTAGACAGATGGGTGGATGCTGAGGGTGATGGTGTTAGACAGATGGGTGGATGCTGGGGTGATGGTGTTAGACAGATGGGTGGATGCTGGGGTAATGGTGTTAGACAGATAGGTGGATGATTGGGGTAATGGTGTTAGACAGATGGGTGGATGATTGGGGTAATGGTGTTAGACAGATGGATGGGTGGATGTTGGAGTAATGGTGTTAGACAGATGGGTGGATGATGGGAGGTAATGGTGTTAGACAGATGGGTGGATGATGGGGATAATGGTGTTAGACAAGATAGGTGGATGCTAGGGGTAATGGTGTTAGACAGATGGGTGGATGATTGGGGGTAATGGTATTAGACAGATGATAGGTGGTGTTAGACAGATGGGTGGATAATGGTGTTTGGTGTTAGAGATGGGTGGATGTTGGGGTAATAGTGTTAGACAGATGGGTGGATGTTGGAGTAATGGTGTTAGACAGATGGGTGGATGTTGGGGTATTGGTGTTAGACAGATGGGTGGATGCTGGGGTATTGGTGTTAGACAGATGGGTGGATGTTGGGGTAATGGTGTTAGACAGATTGGTGGATGCTGGGGTAATGGTGTTAGACAGATGGGTGGATGTTGGGGTAATGGTGTTAGACAGATGGGTGGATGATGGGGGTAATGGTATTAGACAGATGGGGTGGATGTTGGATAATGGTGTTAGACAGATAGAGTGGATGTTAGGAGGTGATAGTTATAGACAGATAGGTGGATGTTGGAGGTAATGGTGTTAGACAGATGGGTGGATGCTTGGGGTAATAGTGTTAGACAGATGGGTGGATGTTGTGGTGATGGTGTTAGACAGATAGGTGGATGTTGGGTAATGGTTTTAGACAGATAGGTGGATGATAGGGAGATAATGGTGTTAGACAGATAGGTGGATGCTGGGGTATTAGTGTTAGACAGATGGAGTGGATATTGGGGAGTGATGGTGTTAGACAGACAGATGGTGGATGCTGGGGTGATAGTGTTAGACAGATGGGTGGATGATAGGGTAATAGTGTTAGACAGATGGGTGGATGATAGGGGTAATGGTGTTAGACAGATGGGTGGATGATGGGGTAATAGTGTTAGAACAGATGGGTGGATGTTGGGGTAATGGTTTTAGACAGATTAGTGGATGTTGGAGTAATGGTGTTAGACAGATGGGTGGATGTTGGGGTATTGGTGTTAGACAGATGGGTGGATGTTGGGGTATGGTGTTAGACAGATGGGTGGATGCTGGGGTGTATTGTGTTAGACAGATGGGTGGATGATGGGGTAATTGGTGTTAGACAGATAGGTGGATGTTGAAAGTAATGGTGTTAGACAGATGGGTGGATGTTTGTGTGTTAGGTAATGTCAAGACAGATAAGGGTAATGGTGTTAGACAGATAGGTGGATGTGACTACTAGACAGATAGGTGGATGCTTGGGGTAATGGTGTTAGACAGATGGGTGGATGCTGGGGTGATGGTATTAGACAGATGGGTGGATGCTGGGAGGTGATGGTGTTAGACAGATGGGTGGATGCTGGGAAATATTATTTAGACAGATAGGTGGTGTTAGTAATAGTGTTAGACAGATGGGTGGATGCTTGGGTAATGGTGTTAGACAGATGGGTGGATGATGGGGGTAATGGTGTTAGACAGATGTGTGGATGTTGGGGTAATGGTGTTAGACAGATAGGTGGATGTGATGCTAGACTGATAGGTAGATGCTGGGGTAATTATGTTAGACAGATGGGTGGATGCTGGGGCGATGGTGTTGGACAGATGGGTAGATGCTGGGGTAATGGTGTTAGACAGATGTGTAGATGCTGGGGTAATGGTGTTAGACGGATAGGTAGATGCTTGGGTAATGGTGTTAGACAGATGGGTGGATGATGGGGTAATGGTATTAGACAGATGGGTGGATGTTGAGGTAATGGTGTTAGACAGATAGGTGGATGTGGTGTTAGACTGATAGGTAGATGCTGAGGTAATTGTGTTAGACAGATGGGTGGAAGATGGGGTAATAGTGGTAGACAGATTGGTGGATCTTGCGGTAATGGTATTAGACAGGTTGGTGGATCTTAGGATAATGGTGTTTAACAGATGGGTGGATGTTGGGGTAATGGTGTTAGACAAATTAGTGGATGTTGGGGTATTGGTGTTAGACTGATTGGTGGATGCTGGGGTAATTGTGTTAGACAGATGGGTGGATGTTGGAGTAATGGTGTTAGACAGATGGGTAGATGCTGGCGTAATTGTGTTAGACAAATGGGTGGATGATGGGGTAATTATGTTGGACAAATGGGTGGATGATGGGGTAATGGTATTAGACAGATGTGTGGATGTTGGGGTAATGGTGTTAGACAGATAGGTGGATGTGGTGCTAGACTGATACGTAGATGCTGGGGAAATTGTGTTAGACAGATGGGTTAATGATGGGATAATAGTGTTAAACAGATGGGTGGATGTTGGGGTAATGGTATTAGACAGATGGGT